ACTTATGTTTACGGATATTTTCAGGCAATGAAATTGATGTTAGCACTTAATATGCAAGGGACTGCTCTACCAATATGGAACAACAAATAATGGGTCAAAAGCTCGCTATTAATTTAAGTGAGAGCAAATGATCGGTATGATTATCTATATGCGTTCCAGGCATATTAGTATATCCCAGTGCATGGCTGGCTCATTACGGCTGAGGAGAAATGCATTGGAACTCCTATAGTTGTGTTTCTTGCACAGGATTCAACCAAAGTTATACGCCAGTTATTTAAGAGCATAGTGTTAAATGCAAGGGGCGAGGAGCACATCACTCTATCTCACACAGGGCGCAAAATAGGACTTTGGATTATAAATAATTTCTTACAACCTTTAATTAGAATTTTCAGGATAACCACTATTTACATAATACAATCTTCTTCTATATTTTGTTTTACTTTGAGTGGTCTTGCACAGATTTAGTTATTTTTACATTTTGGTTGCAGTTGTTCCGAATAACGTATCTTATAGTGTTGATCAAGACTTATGGCAGATTTAGGAACATGGAAATGAGGATAGGGGGCAAACACGCACTTTTTCACACCACTGTAGGTACATGTTCTACTGGATAAAGCATCTCTCCTCTTTGTATGAGACAGTTTTTTGTCCTGTATTTGTCCCTGACAAATAAATGTAATTAAAAAAAGATTAAAATAACAAAGACAAGAACAACAGACAAAAACACAAGGAAATAAAGACAAAAACAAAGATCAATGAACAATAAGACAGAAAGAAAGGAAACTGAATGAAAATACAATAATAAAAGAAAGAGAAAAAAGACGCAAAGAAACTGAAAAATAAAAAGAAAGAAAAAAAGAAAGAAAGATGCAAGCAAGAAAGAAAGACAAAGAGGAATAAAGAAAGAAAAAGAACGAAAGAAAGAAAGAGTAGCTATTCACTGACCTACAACATTTTCAGGTATCTTACACTAGAACTCCCAGTCACCATGGCAACTGACCCCTTTGTGGTCACACACACACACACACACACACAGTGCCACGCTGACTGGTGTCATAGCAACGCTTAGGACAATACAAGCTCTCTTCTCAGGCTTAAAAGCCTGAAGTGTGCCCCATTTGGGAGTTTCAGTTAATTTCCCATTTGATCCTTCCTCTCCTGTCGAGGTCCAGCAGGGTCTGTCGGGGCTGAGAGGGAGATGCTCTCCACCAAAATAATAAGCACTAAAAAACAGCCATGAGTGTAAGTGGCAGGCTGAAGAATGCATGAAAGGGTCCCAAAAGATGCCAGACATTGGGACGGCTATAGATAAGTTGAGCGTGTGCATGTGTGAGAGCCCTTTTAGATCTGTTCTTCTGGAGATCCGGATATTTGTTATAACGAATGGCTCTTAGTTCTTTGAGAGGTTCGTTTAGATTTCCGAGTAGAATTACAATAAAGTGCATGTAGAGTATTGGAAAAGGTTATGTTAATGGTTGGTTGAGAGTTTTATTCCACTTTTGATTACTTTTGAGAACTAATTAAAACACGTCCCTAGTACTGAGTATTATATGCTATTATAGATTCATGCTCGGCTTCTCTTTGATCAGACAGCTTCTGATTGAAATCATGTTCTTGTACTTGTGTTAAGACAATATTTTAACATTTGAGAGCCTTGGTTTCTTTTATTTAATGGCTCTGTGGCTGCAATTAGGCACAGTGGTGCTTTGAACTAAATACTAACATTAGTATGCTAACATGCTTACAGGGACAATGAACATGCTGCTGTTTAGCAGGTAATATTTACCAGTTTCATAGTCTTGGCATTTTAGCGTGCTAACATTTGCTCATTTGTCCTTAACAGAAAGTACAGCTGAGGTTGATGGGAATGTCATCAGTTTTGCAGGTATTCACGGAGTCATGGCCAAAAGGTTTTGTAGAAAAATGTTTTTTCCTCTAAACAAGATATCAAAAAAAAAGTAATGTTGGTCTTGGTACTCTGGTATTGCATTGCCACTATCCAGCAGTTTCAAACAATATCAAGGCTTAAAGATTAGTATTGTCTACGTGCTGATCAAAAGAAAAAATAGTCAAATGTTAAAAAAAAAATTGGTACCAACTAGTGGGTCATTCTACTTGATCATATATTTCCTTATATTTCCTAATATAAGTAATAACTATATTTTACGTAGAAACAGTTGTTATGAAGGAGCTTATGTTAAGGCCGTGGTTCTGAAACTCCAAAAACAGTTCCTAACTCCCACCTCACATTTTTTATCAACCATTATCAATGATAAGCGAATTAACTAATTAAAAAGGATCCATGTTGAGTTTTGGTGAAATAAAGGTCACCACAACAGCATCAGCATTCATTTTCCCCTGCATAAATTATTTTCATTAAACTTAATTTTGCTCCATATTTTTCCCCTGGTCACCCAAAGCCAAGATCACGAAAACCCACTTAATTCCAAGCTCTAGTTAAAGTTCAGGAATAATGTACAGTCTATAGTCAATGGATGTTTGTGTGTGGTTTATGTGGCTTCACGTTTATGGCCGTGTAATGAAAACATAATAGAGTCAGTGTAAATTCTGTCCAGAAAATACTCTTCCCCTCTGCAGATACAACCATGCTAGTCAACTAAATTGTCTCTTTCCCTCTTTCACTCCCTCTCTACCTCTGACAGCCTAACAAAGACCAGCAGCTTCATGCGGAGGCCCAACAAAGACACAAAAACCCGGGCAGGGGTCCCTGATGTGGAAAAGGACAAGAGCAGAATGGATGGAGAAAACGGAGCAGAAAAGAGCTGGAGGATAAGTGAGGATATGTGGTTGGAGGATGAAGTTAACAAAGTACAGCTGACCACAGGAGGGCTCAAAGTTACTCAGAGACTAAACTTCAACTGACATTTACTCTCGTCGATGTAATTATTCTCTATTTACTGTATGTGTGCTTCTTCAGATTTTCTTTTTAAACTCCATCATTCTACTTTTACATAGATATTTATACTTTGACTTTCGATGTTATAACTGATTACATCCATCAGAGAAAACAGATTTTATGTATACTTGGTTAATTCACTGCATTAAATTAGTTGTTGCTAGCCGGTGAACTAAAGGCCTAAAGACTGCAATATGCTTTGTGTGGATGCGCCCAAGTTCTACTGTAGCAGTTTCCACATAAAGGGATACCATGCTTACAGGCATACATACTATTCAATTGGAAAAATGTGCAGCTTAATCATTTTAACATGTTAAGAACCCCTGGACCGAATCTAAAGCTGCACTAATAAATATTTTTATATAAACCTTAAAGGGGTCACTAGCAGAGTTATCATCCAGCTCTTTCGCTTAGTGGGAACTTATTAGCTAACCTTAGCTAATAAAATTAAAGCCCACAAATTCACAACATAGATGTGTTACTTCTAACTCTATGTTAGGCAGGCAGCTGTTTGCAGTAAAATGAAGCTGAGATGGACCCAGTGTACGCTCCCTTTCCAGCACCTAACGGCAAAAAGATAAAGTGAGCGACTAACTTCCGAAGAAAAGCTAAAGAAACATTTTTTCTCAGAGTTGGTGGAGCCCAAACCAGAACTAAAAGGAGAGTAAAATGTTGCCTGTGTTTCTACTGGATGTGCACCTCAGAGGGCAGTAATTTATCACAGGCGTGTGTGCTTTGCAGTTCTTGTGCCAAGAAATCTATGAATGTAGCTTTAATTATTGTAACCTGACTGTACACATTAACTTTTACTCTATTCATTTCTAGTTGGAATAATTCCTTACATTATTTTAAACTGTTGCAGAATTTAGTTTTATTATTCTCAGTCCAATAGTTGTTACATCATTATCACTCACAGTATTATAAGTATTACTGTTTATGTCTAACATTTTATTTTATTTTATTTTCTAATTTTAAGTATCATTTTGTAGTCCACTTATTGCCTACAGCCCAGAGTGACTGAAGAGCACTACTCTATCAAAAATTCAGTTACAATATTCAACCTCTTGCCTTCATGGGATCAAGCCCCCAGAGTCTTTGAGGGAGGGCCTCACTTTGAGAATCAGTGATTAATGCATGCCGACAGACCCATCCCTTCCCAAACTAACCCACCCTTCCTCACGTCATCCCACGCTGACAGACTAGAAAAAGGGAGGGGGGGTCGGTGTGGACATGCGGACATATGGTACTGTCTGAGACTGAGGGGGGGTCGGTGGGTTTAAGAGTGAAGTCTGTATCTCCAGCTCTTCCACAGGATTGTCCATCTGTCTGGGTCTGGGGCAGTAACAGTTGATCATCACAGGGGCTTAACCTACAGTCTACTCTGTACATTAGAAGCAATGTATTTCTGACAGCTGCAGAGCACGACTGACACAACAGCAGGTGGGTGGATTCGCATTAGAGCTATTGTTTAATTACAGGCTCGTAGTTAAAGCCTTTTAGTTTTTAATGATGCTTTTTAGTGTGGCTTCGCTGTGGAAGGTGCTCATGCGGAAGGTTAATAATGGGTGAATTTTAGATGAGTGGTACTCTGCAGAAATGAAAAACCATCCACCCAAACAAAAAAAACAACCCTTTCACTATTTGCCTCAGAAAAGTGCTGATAACCACACACTATCTAATAACTTCCAATGTTGTTTACTTACCTTTTGGGTCTAATATACTTAATACAGAATACTCACACATGCATGTAAGTGTGTACCTAAATCACTTCTCTGACAGCTGTGACGGCTCTCACCTGGCTTCAATGTGGTGGAAGAGGTTGTGCCAGCGCTGGTTGACCTCCAGCAGTGAGCCGTGGACCTGCGTCTGCTTGGCCTCGTCACTGGCTAACAGCAGCTGCTCACCCAGCTGCTTCAGGTGGCTCTTATTCTCACTGAACAGGTTGATTTCCTCCATGCAGTCCTGTGGAAACATGACATGATCAGATTAGGCTGCTTTATAAACACCATGTGCAAAAGAGAAAGCAGGAATACTCACAAATTGCATCTGTCCAATGCAGTCAAATATATTTAAAATTAGACTATTTGGATTTTTGAAAAAAAAAAAGAGTCCCAGTTTCACTCAGCTTGCCTAACATCTGTTTCAACGCCCTCGAGCAGTCGTTTATCGCTTGGAAGTGCCATCGTTAGCTATTCAAATAATCTCTCTAATAATGTCTCTAGTTTTCTCATTTCATGTAACAATCCTAAACAATAATCCTGCAATGTTCAAACCAATTATTATCTCTCTGACTAAATGAGCATGCTTCATGATGAGACAGGAAGGTACAAAAGGCTTTCAGTCACTGAAACAAAGGGCACACAGCCATTACATTCCAGGCCACCATCTGTTATAAACAGCATAATACATGTTGCTCATGTATGGATTTTAACCTGCTCAAGTGGCTTCAAGTGGGTTGATTGTGAGAATTTCAGAATGTATTATTTATGAAGAACAGCGTGCATGTAATATAACAGTTTTATCATGTGCATACAAGAGTGATATTATCTCCACTGTAAGATCTAATCCAGCAGTCATATTAAGAGTTAGAAGTTAGAGAACTACTAGAACTGTCATATTTCATCCAAATTAATTAAACAAATAATGCCACTCTAACCAATGTTATGCCCTGATGTAGTTCTGGGTGGATATGTGTACAAATATACTCAAAAACAATTTTCATAAGGGTCAAATACTCATCAGATAGTATCAGCCTTGTTTCATGAAACAATATGAAAACACCTGTTCTGCCATGTTTGGATAGGAAGATATTAATATTCCTCAGATCTTATACCTTCTTTAGTTTCTCCACCATTTCCTCGATGCTCAGATCTCCATTGTGGCACACCTTGTTCTCCATTTGAGTCAGCCAATCACAGAACTCTTTGTTTTTGTCGTTGAAGATGGTCCAGGCATTGAGGCGGTCTGCGATTTCCTGCCTACGCAAGGATACCTGGGAACAGAACATGTGATAAAACCAATTTCTACCTTAATGCTGGTTGTAGGACATCTGTGGTGTCAGTTAAGCTGCAGTTAGAAAAAGAATAAATTGTGGATGACTGACAGCATTTAGGTATCAGATGAGTATTGGTTTAATATTAACACTAGCAACTTTTTATGCCATTATCATGCTATTTTAGGGTAACCAAATGTAATCTTTTAGGGACAAACCAATGACAATGGTACTTTGTCCACACCAAGCACTAAACATGATTTTCAAACTAACCATTAAAGTGACAACATTCACATTAGCAAAACAAATGTGTCTCAGTTACGAGGTTAATGAGGTGCTTTCTTTGTCAAATTTAAAATGGAAACAACTCCATGGTCATGTGTTTAACATGTGCTGGCCTGGAGCAAAAACAAAACAGCAATGCCATGGATTTTGACAAATCTTTCCAGTCTGAAACAGGGTTATTTTTAATGATTCTTCCTGGTATTTATCCAGGATAATCTGACCAACACAACAGTACATTTTGTAGATTTGCATAAGGACACATAACCTGGTAAATGACTGAAGAAAAGTCTTTCAAAATCTTGTAGCTTTGTATTAAATAACTGTTCAATATAACAGATTACTTGGTACAGGAGTGAATAAAAACAGTCAAATTAACTGAATTGTGTTTTATTGTATTACATATAAGCATTTAATCTCCATCAGAGTCAGTAATCAACTGAATTGAGAGAAATCCCTCAGGGGCTGTTTGATAAAATTAACAAGGTCCATTTTCCTAATGACAGCTTAATGGCATGAAAACACCCCATTACATAGCTGAGGAGGGGGCTGATGATCTTTTTGAGGTTAAAAGGACTTAGCGAGCCCACAGGGCATGTTTGAACCAGCTATATTTTACTGTTCAGTGGCATTTATTTGATTTAAATGAGGCCTTCTTTGGTTTTAATGTACTAACACTGCTGGGCCTTTTGGACGCTGGAGAATTTAGGGTGCATTGTGAGCTGCTGTCACCCCGAGAGGACTTTGTGCTTCCCTTGGAACAATAGAGCCTGCCCTCTGAATCCCTTTAGCCCAGCCAGGCCATCTGCTCATCGGACCCATTCCAGTGGCTTCCCCCATCTACAACCTGTTAACTATGCAGAGGAAACTGTTGTGGCTCAGATACATGCCCCCCAGCCATGTCAGGAATTAATAGGGATGAAAAATCTTGTGTGATTTAACATCTGAAATTAGTTTGTGCTTTCTCAAATAAGTCTTTCTTTGACCCCCGGAAGTTTCACTATTTAGCAAAAACAATTCATTCATAGTCATAAAACAACAATTTTGAAATTGCATTTGATATTAACACTCAGTGACTGGAAGGTCTTTTCTTGAAAAGCATCCAGAGGTTTTCAAGAAATAATGTATTATATGTTTCAGGCTTGTTTTGGACAAACTTAAGATGAATTAATTGGTTAGGATGGGCAGCAAACATGGTTGTAGAGATAACAAAGAGACGATTACATACATAGCACCAAACATCGATAAAAACCTGATGATTGGAAAACTGGCTGCTGTTGTTGCATCTGTGAATCCCAGTAACTCCTGCCAAGACAGGAGCAGGTGGCAGCAGCCAGCCTGACTGGGGATCCAATTAGCATGACTGCAAATTATCCCCTAACCCTAATAACTGACAAAAATGTCGCGAGCATGTCATAACCGTTGGTTTCTCAAGAACAAGAGTGCGTTTGTCTTTAAGCCAAAAGACTTAACTGTAGGAATTTGAACCTGTGTGTATACAGTAGAGCTACTTTCACCAATAATGCAGTTACAGAATTAACAGCCTGTTCTGTTTGAGAGTTTCATGTGATTGCTCAGATAGCGCAGTGAGTCCGAGTCAGGAGCTAAATACAACCCAAAAAGCTGTGCAAAAGCCTTCAGTTTCCTTTATATGCTGATACAAGCAGAAAAAGCTTTGGAGGCAACCAAATCCAGACAATCCCGTCCCATTACAGCATGCATCCAACTGAAACAGTAGAGTTTGTGTGTTTCTGCACTTTTGTAGTAGAAATGTTAAGAAAACAAATTAATTTGACCTGCAGGGAGGAAAGTTGGTGTGGTTTTCCCTCCATGAACCTGCACATGGTGGCTCTTTTCACACACAAATGAGTGTGTGTGTGTGTGTGTGTGTGTGTGTGTGTGTTCAGCCCCAGTGGTGCAGAGGCTTTGTGCTGCTGGTCACCGCCAAGACACCGCTGGTAGCAACTCTTTTCCCTCCTTCTCTCCCTCTCTCCTCCCTAGTCGTTCCTCTCCACCTGCACTCTCTCTCACTTTCTCTAGTTCTTTTTATGGCCTCTCCCTCTCCCCTATTTCTTTCAGCCCTCACCTTCATACACAGCTCTTCCCACTGGCCGTGGAGTTGTTCCAGCTGCTGCTCCAGCAGAGTAGAGTCACCGGCCGCGACGTACTGGGACAGGTCTGTCTTCATGGTGGCCAATTCCTTCAATCCACTGGCCAAACGCTGCAGAGAGAGCTCTGTCCCCTGCATAACACACACATATACACGGACACTTTAACACCCGCTCAGACGGCCATGTACAAGCTGTGTGCTCACGCTTCTCTCCCTCTGTCTCGCTCTGACTGTCCAGATTAAAGGGCTGTGGACGGGACAGGGGGAGGGTAGAGGGGGTAGAAAGGGGGAGGGGAGTGAAAGCATGGGTGTATTAAATAGGGGAAAGGGGGGGAAACTCAGAGGCGCTCTGATGATGGGGGGTAGCTACTGATGGAGTTCAGGGGTCTGAGAACTTTGGCCAGGTTTTAGACCAGTTGACTTCTTCCAACTGCTACTTGGACATATTTAGCAACTTTATGCTAATGTCATACACATTGTACAATGATAACTAATTTTCAGTGTGATAACTGGAATTTCCATCCAAAACAAAGTGTGTTATTATATATCAGATTATGCAATTAAGACATTGACACATCAGTCACCCTCAGTACCTGTTTTTCTGCTACATCAAGCATGGACACTGAGAGATAATTTGACTTTTGTAGAAAATGTCTCCTAAATAGTGTCCTTCTCTGTTAATACAGAGAGTTTTGGGAGACTGTTTTCTTAGTGTCCTGTTCCAGCTGTGGTGATTTCTCTCTTTCTCTCTCTGTTAAATTATATTTTTGTGAAATGTATTGCCACACAAAAAGGTCTAAATACTTAAAAAAAAACTCCAACGTTTTCAAACGTTTTTTTCCATATGGCAAAAAACTGGTTTGTATTTACCTCAATGTGTTTCTCGTCCTCCGGCGGACTTTGAGGCAGCGGCTGTTTTAGGCTTGTTTGCAGCTCATCCAGTTTGGACATGATGCCGGTTATCCCATCCCGACACTGAGACCACTTCTAAATAATCAGGAGAACAGAAAGGAAGGAGATCTCAGGAGTCATTTTAACAAATATCTGACACGTTATTATCATTGACCTGTAATGTTTAACCATAAAGGCCTGGGCTGCTATGAAAACCTTTAGTACAGTATGTTTTTGAAAATCACTACATTATAACAGATGAAATAGGGACATAAATCACTGCAGAGGTAACCTGATTTTCTACATGCCATATTATAAAAGTTATATCATAAAAAATAATATGACTTTGGCTTTGTTGCCTTGGCATGAGGGATGAGATAACAAGGAAGGGTGCTTCCTAAGCAACAACATCTTTATGACAATTATATGATTACCAAGTTAGTCTCTTGCTGTCAGTTCTACTTTGTGCATTAATGGTACTCTCTGTGTGATCTTTGACATGTTGCTCAGAGGGATTTCCCTCTCCGCTGGTGGATTCTGTTTAGCTTAAAGGGGTTAACACAACTTTCCCTGACCTTACTGGGCCTTAGCACCAAAACAT